CCGACCTCCAAGGGGGCCGGTGGTCCCGCGCGCAGTCCCAGCCGACCTCCATGGGGGCCGACTGCCCCGCGTGCGGTCCCAGCCGACCTTCAAGGGGGCCAGCCGAGGCACGCCCGGGACCGACGGTCTCGCCGTCGCCGTCGTCGCCCCCCGTCCCCCTGACCATCGGGATGCGGCCGTGGATCATACTCTGGGGGAAGATGTCGGCCAGGCGCCTGGGCCGTCCAGGCTCATGGTTTACAGTCGGCCTTGATTGGACAGGGAAAATAGAGGGAAACAAAGATGAAAAGGAACAAAAAGGGGGAGATAAAGATAAAAAAAGAAGAAGAGGGAGGGGAAGGGGGGGGGAGGAAACGGGAAAAAAAGGGGGAGAACGGGGGAAAGAAAAATAGAGCAAACGAAAAAAGGAGAGGGGGGGGGGGGGGGGGGGGGGGGAAGGCGGAAAAAAAAAAAAGGGGAAAAGGGGGGGGGGGGGGAAGGCAAATAAGCAAAAGGCACTGGGGGATAGACGAAGGGGAAAGGGGGGGGAACACAGGGTTAAGAAAGAAAAAGGGATAGAAAACAATAAAGCCAACCAAACGCACACCACCCAAACTACCATACAACCCCACCAAATCCCGTCTCCAACCTCCAAATAGCCCCCTCAACCCTACATACGTCTAAACACTCTACCCAACCCTAACCACTTCATGACACGCGAGAGGCCACAAGACCCTTCGCCACAGGAGTGCAAGAAGGCACGCGTCGCGAGGCACAGGACACAAGGGCACCCTTGAGCTGGCAGGGTCGACTTACTAATCCGGGCCAGGTCCTCTCGTTCCTCCTCCCGCAAGCCCTCGTTCTCTGCTCTCCTCCTCCTCCTCATCATCATCCGCCCCCTCCTCCTCCTGATCCTCATTTTCCTCTTCCTACCGTCTGGGGAGTCACGGTTCCCGAGTTCCCCCGATCCCATTTGGATTTGAACAGGCCCTAAGGCGCAGACCTTCCACTGCAGAAGGTCTCGTCGTAAACCTCTCTCCCGGGAAGATGAAGCAAAGATCTCTTATCGATCGGCTTTCCACGGCGGTCGAAACACACAGGGAGTGCCCGGTCCAACAAAGCCGCCTTATCGACGTAAAGGGAGAAACTCATTGCCGGGCAGAAAAAAAATCAAGTAGAAGTTGTTCTTCCGGATGAAACGGCACGAATACATCATGTGCGTGCAGGCCCTGAAGTTGCGCAGCACCCACAATCTGGATTGTATCCTCGGACCGGAGGCCGCGCTGCCGATCGCAGTTCAGCCCTGTGAATCCCCCGCGCTGCAAGATAGCCTTCGGGGCGCGAGGGCCAGACAAGAGCATGGAGTAGGTTTTTGTTGGGCGGGAGATGGAGAGAAGAAAAAAAAAAACAGGCCTGACCGCCCGGCACCCCCCGCAGGCGCTCTGCGAGCCAGTCCACCAGCGGCAGTGAGGCGCGCGTGCGGCCCGCAGGCGGCCCAGCGCCCGCGGCGGCGCCGCCGCCAGGGCCTGGCCGCCGTCGTTCCGCTAGGGCCCCCGACGCTGCTACGCCCCGAGCGAGCGAGGAAAAGGAGGGAATGGAGTGGCGATGGTGGAGGATAGACCGGCCCGGGCGGGCGTAGCAGTTTCGAGGGCCCGTGGATCCCCTGAACCCGAAGGCGGGAATGCCAGCGATGTACGCTAGCATCCGCCTCCGTTCCGGCCCGGCCGGGCCGCCCGGACGTTCGCCCGACGGTGCCACGCGAGCTGGCGACTGCCTCGAACCAGCCAGGGCTATCGTCGTCATCGTCGTGGTTAACGTCGTCGTCGTCGTCTTTGTCGGCGCCTCCTCTGTCATCGTTGTCGTTTTTTTCGTCATTGTCGATGGGGCGTTGTGATCGCTGCCGCCACCGTTGACGCCGTCGGCCGCAACCGAAAACGAGATGCAGGGTCAGCTCTTCGTGTTTCTCTTGCTCATTTGATGTTTTGTTCCTTTCGGGGGGGGCCGGCTGGCTCCTCATAGTCATTTTCATTTGCGTCATCCTGTGTCGTTCTCCTCCGAGGTGTTGTTTTTCATGTTTACTCGTCGTCCTCGTGTTGAGGGGCGTGGTCGGTGCGAAAATGATCGGAACGCCCTGATGCGTCGGATTTGGTAGGCGGAACGCAATGCACATCCAGAAATGGCCAACCGAAAGGCCCCCTTGCAATCACCTAGGGTCACTTCCCTCAGTGGAAATAAACCCTTGCAGGAGACTGTGAAGAGGGAGCTTGGAGGGAGGGTGGATTCCACCATCGTTGCTGAGTCTTGGATTTGCACTGGTCCTCCTCCTGCTCCTATACATCCTACTGCTGGGGCTCGCCCTCCTCAACCCTTTTCCTCCTCTTCCTCCTCTTCCTCCTCCTCCTCCTCCCCCTCCTCCTCCTCCTCCTCCTCCTCCTCCTCCTCCTCCTCCTCTTCCTCCTCCTCTCCTCCACCTCCCCCAACGTATCCCCTTCCTGCTGCACCTACGACTTGCTGCGGGGTTCGCGCATCAAGCAAAACACCTCCCCACCATCCCTTCCACGTTGCAGCTGCTGATGCGTCCTCTTTCCTCCGCTCATCATTCTCTTCACTGTCCTCCTTCGACGACGACGACGGCGACGACGACTACTACAGCGGGGACCGCCCATCGAGCAAAACCATTCCCCTTCCACAAATTGATCCTTCTCTCGATCCTGCTGCTGTCCTCCTCCTCCTCCTCCTCCTCCTCCTCCTCCTCCTCCTCCTCCATCGTCGTCCTCCTCCTCCTCCAATGCCACTCTCATCCGGCTACTCTGGCTCCTCCTCTCGATCCTGCTGCGGCTGCTGCTGTTGCCCATCCTCCCTGCTGCTACCCCGTCTCCACCGCATTCCCATGCTCCGGGGTCTGCGCATCGAGCAAACCAATTCGCCTCCCTCGTCTATATCATGTTGCTGCTCCGTTTCCTTGTTCATGTTCCTCGACTCTTAACAACAACCAACGACTAATACAGCGGTGTCCGCACATCGACCACAACAATGATCCTCCGTAATTATAATATCAACCCTGCTGGTGTTCATCTTCCTCTCTCCTCCTTCTCGCCCTCCTTCCCCTGCAAATGTAACGACTCGCAAAGAAAATTGCCACTTGGGCCCCGCTGGCAGCCAAAACAGAGCGTAAATCGAAAGTCGCCTTGAAGAACTGTGGGCGCGTGTGTGTATGTGTGTGTGTGTGTGTGTGTGCGCGCGCGCGTGTGTGCGCGTCGCACACGTGGCGCGGTTTGGGTCGCAGATTCCTTGACTTGCACCATGCGTGGCGTCATCCGTGGTCCATGCCATCCATGGCTTGTGCGATGCATCGGTCTCGGCATCCACGGATTCCAGCATCCATGGATCCCACTGCCCGCTGCAGGGTTGGCTCGCATCTGCGATGTCCTCCTGTCGTTCAGACAGACGCTCTTGCACCAGCGCGTCCCCTCCATCGCCTTCTCTTGGTCCTCCTGCTCCTCCTGCTCCTCCCTCTCCAGCAGGAGCTGCTGCTCCGAATCCTCCTTCCTCCTCCTCCTCCTCCTCCTCCTCCTCTTGCTGCTCATCCTTTTGGTCATCCAGCACCGCCGCCTCCTCCTCCACACAGGCTCCCCTGTCTGATTGTACACTACACGATGGGTTAGTTTTGGGGGTCCAGGTCCGCAAGGACAATCGTCGGCGGATACAGGAAAAACTGCGCATTGAAAAAAGGAGGGTTGGTTGGGCAGGACGTACAGTATAGCGCGCGCTCGCACCTAGCTTGTACATCCCGCTCTTCTTCCCTATCGTTCCCTTCCTCTCTACCACCTCTCTCCCTTCCTCCTCCAGCTCCCTCCTCCTCTTATTACTATTACTCCTCGTCCATCCACAGTTACACAATATGAATACTACTCTCCCTTCTCCCCTGACGACGTCCGAAGAGATCTGGCTCCCGCGTACAGTTTTTTTACACACAAGATTCCCACGTGCTGGGTTTTCGCTTGGGTTTATTTTTTGTCAAATGTTGCTCCCGCAAGCGCTGGCCTCATGTTCGGGCTTCCGCTCGTTCCGAATCGTGCTCCCCCGCTGCAACGCTGGCCTCATTTCCGCGCTTCCGCTCGTTCCGAATCGTGCTCCCGCTGCAGCACTGGCCTTCCTTCCAAATAAGCCCCAATGTCTACAAAATGGCCCCCCGGAGAAAAACATCGGAAGTGATTACACATTCGGTGTCGATTCGTCGATGTTGTGGGCCGCAGAAGCCTTCCCGACTTTGGGGCGTCGTCGCTTTCGAGGAATATCAAGCGGGAGCCCCGTTTCTGCTTTGAGAACGCAGAGCCAACGTGCTGATCGTGGGCCTGTAGGGCCCTCTTGGGAGTGCGTGCGTGTATTATGCAGCGAGAGTGGACAGGGACATGTGCGTGTTGATGCTGCAGCAGTTTGGCTTGCCAAGGGAGTGGAAAAGAGAGTGCGGTCGCTCCCTCTTCGAAGCCAAATATGCACAGCGGGTGCCCTCCAACAGCCCCGCCTTGCGTGGAGCTTTTCGGGGAGCCCAAAGAGCTAGACATGGAGCCACGACTCCAGACCGGCCCAGACCTTTCGAAGACGATCAGCTTACCCTCCAAGGAATCCGGCGCCATGCCATGAAATGATGTGCGGTGTTGTGTTCTGCGCCGCTGTGCGATGCCATGCTTTGCGTTGCAATGCTTTGTGATGAAATGCCTCACTGCGCAATGCCACGCCATGCGGAGGCATGCTACGCTCTGCCGTGCTCTTCTACGCCATGCCATTCCGTGCTCTGCCATGCATCGCGTACCCTCTCGCGATCATTGCGCTGTTCGACATCCGACTGTGCGAATAGAGTCGATATCTACGCCATGGTAAGGACGTCGGATATGACGCGAGCGCGCCTGACTTGTCCTTACCCCCCCCCCGCCCCCTTCCCACTCTCCCCCCTCCCCCCCCCCCTCCGCCCCCCTCCTCCCCCTGGAACGTGGGGGCGGGGGGGTGAGTCCCAGGTCGGC